GCAAGGACCAGTGATGATTCATGGTGGAAAAGAAGTTGTGAGAATCATATTATTAGGGATTAACACTATGTCCAATGAAAATTTATAGGAGCCTTCGAAATTACTTCAGCGATCGATGAAGAAGAAGCTTGGACAAACTGGACATCTAATCACCAACGAAAAAGGAGATCTTTTATTTCTGATGACATGATGCCAACGGGATATTTCCAGATATGTACTGTAAAATTAGCATAATCCTTACCCTCAAAGATTGTATTATTTACAAAATAACCTTGAAGAAGATAAAAGCATGCCCATGGTTTCTTTTAGCTAAAGTGATTAAATTAAGTTGAAGTTTCTATTTGCAAACACTATTTATGGTTTTTTCAAAAAAATAAGTTGAAAAACACTTTGCAAAATCAGTTGCAAACACTGCCTTGTAACATCATTTGTCATATAGATATTTTCAGAAAACTATTTTTAGATTAAAGGTATTTAATTGCCGTAGTAAGATGTACAGCCTCACGGAGTCAGGGGCGCAATATAATATTTAGTAATTATTTTCCCACGAACTAATACTTTCTTCGTCCCTTAAAACTTTATAAACTTTCCTTTTCTTATTGTTCCACTAAATTTGTCAATTTTCCTTTTAAATAAAGAATTTATAGTTCCGGTTAATTCTCTCACCTCTGCACAAATCTCAACCACACAGTATTTATTTTATTAATTATTGTGCCGGTCAATTTTGACCAAGTTTGAAGAGATGGAGGGAGCACTCTTTTTGACTAATTAGTTTTCCAAATAAAATGAAAACAATAGTCTAATGTGATGGAAACTATTTTTTTAAAACTAGAAGCAACTATTGGAGTTGCATTAAAGAAGACCCTTCATGGCTTCATTTCTCGATTAATCACCTAATGAATTAATTTGTATTAGATATCGATTTCTTAAATTTGAGTGTTTTAACTATTGGGAATTTTACTTTGCACCCCACGTTTTGGGTGATATTGGAATTTGCACCGCATTTTCAAAAAACTTTGACTTTGCACCCCAACACATACCATTTTGTGAAGAATTTTTTTTAAATGGGGTGCAAAGTCAAAGGAATTTTAAGTGAAATGGGGTGCAAAATCAAAGTTTTTTCAAAATGTGGTGCAAAGTCCAATATCACCCATAAAGTGGGGTGCAAAGTCAAATTACCCATTTAAAGTTTAGTATAACTAATAACTTCTTCAACAACAAGAATACTCCATAAATTAGTATAACTTGTAACTACGGTTGGATATGTTTTTCAGCCTCAATGGATAAATGCAACAATTTTAACATGTTTACCTGAAGATAAATTAGGCCCCATTCAGTAACGTACATTTTCATGTTCAGTGTCCATTTTTAACAAGTTCAGTCATTTAAGTCAGATATTCTGCACTTTAAATACGAAGTAGATTAGTATATTAAACATTTTTCTATCGATCCAAAGTATAAATGTTTCTTAAATTTTATTTTTATATGATGATTTAATTAATGATTATTAAATATCATTTCTTTAGAAGAGTAAACAAATTTCTAACTAAAACCAAAATTGGTATATGGAAAATTATATAGAGAGAATAAAATGTATAAATCATATGTCGAAATAAACATAAAAGGCTTCAAAGTTTCTATGGAAAAACGATAAATATGGTTTTATGTAAATATCACTTCCATATAGTTGAGCTACTCGATTGCTTTTCAAATATATCATGAAGATATTTGAAAGGGACTTGTCAATGATTAGGTGCATAAATAAGCGGATGCATCTAATTGAATTTTACGAGGATGTTTGAATATAGAATTTGAAAAGTTTGTGGGAATTGAAACTTATTGATTATGGAAGATTATTTTACTAACATCTTTTCTTATGTGCAAGGAATTTTAGAGTCTATTATTTGCAGTATTGAGCATAAAGTTATCAATGTTCAGAACAACCACCTCTTGCTACCTCTACGCATGGAAGAGATAAAGGAGACCTTTTCTCTATGCACCTGGATAAATCCCCAAGCCCTAACGGGATGACTCTAGGTTTCTTCCAGCATTTTTTGGATCTTGTGAGACCGAATGTGATCGCTTTTTCAGCATATGTTTAGTATTGGTTTTATTCCTGAACGAATAGATCATATTAGTATTGTTTTAATTCGTAAGAAAGATAGGCCAGCGGCGATAGCTGGTTGGAGACCAATTTCTCTTCGTGATGTTCTATTTAAAAAAAAACCAAAGTTTAGGCAATTAGATTTAAGAAGTTTTTGGGCTACATTATCTCAAAATCAAAGTACTTTTGTTCTCGAAAGGTCAATTATAATTGCCTTTAAGGCTCATCATTATCTTAAGCGTATAACGAAGGGTATTGATGGTATATTGCTCTCAAACTTTATTTGAGCAAAGCCTGTGATATAATTGAATGAATTTTTTTGGAGGTTGTCTTTTTAGGCCTGGCTTTAACGGCACATGGGTCTGCATGGTTATGCAAACGGTGAGGCCGATAACATACTCTATTCCTTTTTATGTGCCTGAGTTGGGACTTATGGTTCCAAAAGGGTTTCAAATAGGGTGATCCGCTCTTTCCTTATTTGTTTATTCTTGTTGACGAGGGGTTCAGTGCTCGTTTGAGATAACAAGATGTGGTGGGTATGCTTCATTGGGGGGGGGGGGGGGCTAGAGGGGCTCCTCGTATCTCACACTTATTATAAATGATGCGGTGGAGAGTGCATTCATGTAAAGAGATTCAGTGGTCTAATTGAGATAGTTTGTGTGCCCCTAAAAAACATGGGGGTGTGGGCTTCAGGAGGCACTGAAGCTTTAATCTTACTATGCTGGGGGAAACAGATGTGGATGCTACTTACAGAACCGGTTTCTTTGCTTTACAAGGTCTTCAAAGTCAGGTACTTTCCCCGCTCACCATTTTGGAGGCAAAGAGTGGAGGATCTTCATCTTTTATTTGGAGAATATTATTGAAGCAAAGCCTGCCATTATCGATAATTTAAGATGGCGCATTGAAGATGTCAGGTTGGTTAATATTTGGAGAGATCTTTGGCTACCAGATGCCTTTGATCCAAGGCCTTCTTCACAGACTATCCAGGGGTTGGAGGAGATATAGTGGCAAGCCTAATTTTAAATGCAAATCGAGAATGGGGCAGGGACTTGGTGGTGGAATCATTCGAGGATAGGGATGAAATATCATTTTGGGTTACCTCTGAGTCATCTGGCCTTTGGAGGAAAAGAGTCACTTCATAGTAAGTAGTTGTTATCGTGCTCTTGTTGGGAGTTTCAGTCAGGTTACAAAGTCAATTGGGCTAGGATGTACAAATTTGATATCCCACCGAAGGTGAAGTCTTTTTTATTGCAGGTGTGTGTGTGTCATCTTCCTACATCAGATAACCTTATGACTCAGATGGTGGCTTGTCAAACAATTTGCCCATTATATTAACTTTTTTTTGGGGAAATGTAAATATATAGATAGTAACCAAAGTTATGTACATCATATGAACAAAATTGGAGGCATATCCAAGTATGGATACCCTATACATCCAAAGCATCAAAGGCTTAATATCTAAAGTCCATCATCTAGCAAAAAACAGCCATCAACTCATGACAAAAAATGAGGCTAGTTTATGATTAAAAAAGGGATCATATGGTGCGGATATAATGAGTATAGCACTTTGTACACCATTATATTAACAAGAGGATGAGACGCTGCTTCACATTTTCGGGACGGGTTAGAAGGCCATACAAGTTTGGAGTTTCTTACACTGGAATGTCCCGGTTAGTGTAGAGAATACTTTTCTGAAGTTGGTAGAGAATTTCTTCCATACTAGAGATATAGAGAGTTGTAACTTGTTTGTTACACTTCTGTGGAGTATCTGAAGGGTCCAGAATGTGAAAGCCTGGGAGCAAAAGGAGTTGGCAGTGGGAGCAAAAGGAGTTGGCACTGAAGCTATGGCTTTTCTGGAAAGTTGGAGCAGAGCCCATGAGGGAGGATTGCGGACGAGACAACAACATTGAGCTGTGTTGGGTTGGAAAAGATCGGAGGAGGGTTGACTAAAGCCAAATAGGGATACTTCAGATCTGTTCAATAATATTTGAGGACTTGGCTGGGTTGTCCGTGATAACGGATTTTATTCGTAGCGGGTGGTGTTAATACTTGGCACAAATGCTCTCCGATGATGATCGATGCCTTATCTATGAGGGAGGCGCTAAGCTGGCTGCAGATAACATTGACACTGAATCAGACTCTCTTCAGATTGTCAGCAAAATCAAATCCGATGTGGATGACTCGTTAGTAAGGTTAATCATTGAAGATATTAGAGACATTTATTCTCTTCTCTCACGTGAAATAGCTTGCGAATCGGGTGGCTCGTGATTTTGCACGGGTCATTGTTTCTATGTATGATCACCATGTTTGGTTTTATAACCATCCCTCTTGTATTTCGCTTTCTTTGAACCATGATTTTATTAATAATACTCCGTACTTTACTAGTTTTTATTCAAAAAAGTGATTGGATTCTTATAGCCCCTTAGCAGTTATTAGTTTAAAAATTCATAAAGTTCCAACAAATTCCACTATTTAACAAAATCCATTAAAAACAATTCAAAACTTGTATTACACATGTATTGTGGTAGTCAGGTAGATATTCTTATTTGTGGACTATTAAGCTCTTAAACTTTTGAATTTACAGATTATTTATGAATGAAATTGTTTATTTATATAATTAATGTATTTCATATGAATGGTGTTTATCAATTTTATGAAAAATAAAAGTTTAATAATCATGTCATTTTCTAATTAGAGAGAGCTGCATGTTACTATCCCAGGTAGATTCTATGATACCTATAAGGGGTCTACATGGAACAATGAGAATGTAGCAATTGAATTATTTAAATTTAAATTAAAAATGATAAAGTGACGTGATCCAATAAAATAAATAGAAGGTAATAAATAGCAGGTAGGGTACCTGTTTTTTTGATAATACAGGTGTAGTGGCTTATGATCATGGAGTCTATGAAGTAGGAATCCCATTTACATCACCCTTCATGAGCTGAAATGGTTGGTTTAGGTTACCCTTTTTTAAATTGCACTGAGTTGACACACCATCGAGGCCAAGCTGCTGATCACCGGGAAGATGACCGGCACAAAAGCCACTGCGCCAACCAAACACCTCGCCGCTTGTTGTATATCGCACGAGTTCTATAGACGCGCTTCAGCTAACCCAAGCAGGATTGCAGTGATACACGCGTCCGGTGGTAGTCGGCTATTCCAAGAATTCCACCGCCTTCACAGTGACTACAGTAGCGACCAAACCTTTACTGACTTTGATGAGCTCGTGTCAGAGAAGAGGACTTCATATCGTCCTACAATTTACGAAGGCGACATATGCTTCACTTTTTCTGACATTCTATCAGCGGTTGATGCTCTCAGCGCTAAGCTCCGCCGGGTTCTCAACTGCACCGATGATTCCCGACTTATTAAATACGATGATTCAGGTATTCGCATTCCTCCTGCAGGCAGGTTATGCGTCTTAGTTTACAAGTGCCCGTTCAGCTGCTGAAAATGGTGCTTAAGCGGTTCAACGGGCCACGGAAGCTGTAAAAATCGATTCTTTTTCTAAGAATCACTTTCTTTTGTGGCTTACTTTTGTATATCAATATGAAGTAATCCATAATAATTTTCTTTGATTTGCATTAATGGCAGTTTCCTTCATTTTAAGCTATGGTTGCAAAAACTTGTCTGATTAAAAGAAACTAGTTACGAAACAGTACAAATACACTCCCAAGGCTTCCTCTTAGGTGGAAATGGATCCTTAAGGATTTTTAATGGCAATGCTTTAAACACCATGTGAATTGCAATGGACATATAAGCACCTCTCTTCATGGATTCTAAGTGGATGTGGTTGCCATTTTCTTCCTGCTCATATACTCATGGAAATCATCAGATGTTCTCCATCATAATAGTAAACTAAGAAGTTTATTTAGCCAATTATGTACACACGACAAGGAAGAAACAAAATATGATTTATCTCAAGGGTATGAGAGTTGAATGATGTGAAAGTTGAAGCTGTACAGAATTTGAGAAACTGAGAAAGTGAGAACTAAAAACATCAATTATGGAGTATGGATCATGGGGAGGTGGGGATATCTCTACCCAATTAAGGTTGTAGGAAATTAATTTGTGTCTAAAAAAAGGTGAAGTGCAGTGAAACGAAGCTCCAACATATTAATTCGTCCAATACAGAGCTCTAGTTCCCTACTCTTCTCGTTTTTGCTTTGCTCAACTTGGGTTCTTCAAAGGCTTCTCCAATACGGAGAGAGAAAATGAAAAGAACATAAGCATCCGTTGGGGGGGAATATCCATCTAGAAGTTTTTTTCTTGTCTGATGTGGCAAGATCTGTAATGTCCATTAAAACATGTTTATTGTTCCTTTGAGAAACATTGAACAGATATGTTTATATTGCCTTTAAATGAGTGCTTTGAAGGCTTATTTGCACGTCAAAAGAAGTTAAGAGCTAATCTGCACCTCAGGTGAATGTACTTGATATGTGTATTTGCAACTTTTCCCAAAGTAATTAGTTGTCAAAATCTTGTTTTCTCATTCTCCTCCTTTTTTGTTTTCTTTTTTGACGGTCTTTACCTACTTCTTAGCTATCTCAGTTGTAGCAGGCAATGACTTTCACAGGGAACAGTTAGTACAAGATCAATATTCTGAATGTATGGATGCTCATGGTCTGAGTGTAAAACACTTAAATGAATCTCAGAAGACGTATACTCCAAAAGTAATAGGAATATATACGGAGCCATCTACTGAATATATCGTTACTGTCCTCTCTGTACTGAGATGTGGATAAGCATCCTTTTTTGTTTTCTTTTTTGACGGTCTTTACCTACTTCTTAGCTATCTCAGTTTTAGCAGGCAATGACTTTCACAGGGAACAGTTAGTACACGATCAATGTTCTGAATGTATGGATGCTCATGGTCTGAGTGTAAAACACTTAAATGAATCTCAGAAGACGTATACTCCAAAAGTAATAGGAATATATACGGAGCCATCTATTGAATATATCGTTACTGTCCTCTCTGTACTGAGATGTGGATATGCTTTTATGCCACTGGAGCCATCATGGCCTAATGAGAGGATATCACGGGTACTATCTTCTTCAAAAGTGGACCTCCTTGTGGGTTGCGGGTCTCTAGTTAACAGTAGTTTTCACTGCATCGATAAGTTAGATTGGCTCATTGATGATGGAAGATGTCCTGTATTGCCTATATATATGGAAGATTACATCCAAAAGAATGATTCTGGTCCACTGAATTTAGTCTGGCCATGTGAAAGAGAAAGGTTAAGATCATTCTGTTACTTGATTTACACATCTGGGTCTACTGGGGAGCCTAAAGGTGTATGTGGCACTGAAGCAGGTGAAACTCATAATGGTTCTATGTGTCACTTGGCACTCTTTATTCAATCTTTCTGTAAAAGTTATGATGTGAACTCTATGCAGGTCTTCTGAATCGCTTTTTTTGGATGCAAGAATTGTACCCCTTACAAGTAGAAGATCAGTTGCTCTTCAAAACATCAATAAGTTTTATTGATCATTTGCAGGAATTTCTTGGAGCTCTGCTAGCCACCTGTACGTTGGTTATACCCCCTTTCAATCAGCTGAAAGAAAATTTGTTTTATATTGTCAGTTTTTTAAAGGTAGATCTGCAAACTAATGTTCTTAAAAAGAACTCTTTTTGACTTAGCAATGCATGAAGGAGGGACCATGCTCACATTTATTAGGCCTGGGATCGGTTCGGTTCTTGTTAAAATTCGATGGAACCGTATAAAAATCGTAGACGTTAAATTCGGTTCGGTTCTAGTTAAATTCGGTTTGGTTCTTACATTTTTTCGGTTCCTTATAAAAATTTATTATCCTCCTAAAATGAACACATTTTACCTTCAGTTACATAAAAAAATTCAAATTTTAAATCATGAAATTATGACCATTACATTATACATGCATGATATCTCAATGTTCAAATATAAAAAAAATGCAAGTGCAACATTAAATTTAAACTTAACAAAATTCTCGGTTTAAAATAGGCATCAACTGTCAAGCAAAAAGGTTCAATAGCTTCAAAGTACACATCCAATAGCAGGTAGTTCAACCCCAAAATAATATTCTTGTACTAATAATGCACAATAAGTAAAAAGTATGTAGTAATAAACAACGTAATCAATAGAACATTAATTCCTTTTTGAGGTTAACTCCAATAACAAATACAATTACAAAAAACAATAAATATAAAAGTGGACTAAAGTATTAAAATAACAACTACTCGGATTGGCCTGATCCACAATATATAAGGTATATTATGCAAAACAATTTTTTTCGACAAATATTTTCTGCCCGGAACGCCGTCTGGCCACCTCCATTTGATGTGCTTCCGTGTAGAATTTTTTGATAAAATTTTGTGAGCATGTTCTACATGAAATGTAGATTATGGATGTTTTTACTTGGACTGTAATTCGTCCCAAACCAGACCAGTTCAGACCTGGCCAGACCAGACTTGGATAGTTATAAAAATACAAAGAAACCAGACCAGTTCAGACCAGATCAGACCAGACCAGATTAGACCAGACCAGCAAATTATAGTCCAAGTAAAAACATCCTATATATATACCAAATTTTAGCTCAAAATGCAATCGGGAGGTGAGTTAAATAAAATATTGAAAAACATTGTGTTTTTATATATATTTTGGCGTAATGCTTTTCAATGATTTATTTAACTCACTTCCCGGTTTCATTTTAAGCTCAAATTTGGAGGACATAATCATTATTTGATGAAAAACAAGCTCACTAAATTTCATCAAAAAATTCCACCCAGAAGCACCTGAAATGAAAATTACTCGTGCAATGTATGAGAAGTTCGGTTCCTAGCTAAGAACCGGAACCGAACTGGAACCGAACCGGAACCGAACCGATGAAATACTATAGGAACCGAACCGAAAAAAGCTGAAGTCCAAAATTATAGGAACCGAACTGAACCGGAAATTTTGGTTCGGTTCGGATCGGTTTTCCCGGTTTTACGGTTCCAAGTCCCAGCCCTAACATTTATCATTTGTTTTTAAGTTTCCCTATAAATCCAATGTATAGATACAAGAATGTTTTTTATTTTTATTTTGCCTATGCAGGATTACTCGATCAACAGGATTATAGCCGTTCCATCATTCATGAGAGCTATTATTCCTACACTAGGAAGTCTATATTTTAGGAAAATTCAAAGCTCTTTGAAAGTTTTAGTATTAAGTGGTGAAACTTTGCACCTTTCAATGTTGAAGGTCCTTGTTGAGCTACTGCCCCGGACTGTTATTTTGAATTTATATGGGAGTACAGAGGTATGTTTAAGTTAATATGACACTAAATAAGTACATTCAATTCTGATATATACTCGTAGCGGATCTTCAAAACTGGATTATTTTAGACTTTTAGTCAATTAGTTCACAAGTAGCCACACCATAATCCAAGGGTCTCATGTTCAGGTTTCTGGTGATTGTACATACTTTGATTGCAAGGATTTGCCTCTCATACTGGAGTATGAAAATTTGAGTAGTGTTCCAATTGGCTTGCCTTTGTACAACTGTGATGTTCTGCTCCATGGAGATGATGATCCCAATGAAGGAGAGATATGTGTTGGTGGGCTCTGCCTTTCAGCAGGATACTTTAATTCTCCATTTGTTTTGCCATTGGACTATGTAGAATTGTCTCAGGGATTTGATAGTGAGAGCACTGACCATAGAGTTCAATGCTATTTTAGAACCGGGGATTTTGCCAGAAAACTTCAAAATGGGAATTTTGTTTTTCTAGGGAGAAAAGACCGCACTGTTAAGGTTAGTGGGCAGCGCATTGCTTTGGAGGAGGTTGAAAATGTTTTGACAGAACATCCAGAAGTAGCTGATGCCACTGTAATTTTCCGTAATGACGAAGGGGATATTTCACTCCTGGAAGCGCATCTGATACTGAAGGAAAACAGTGAACATGTTGTGACTTCGAGATCTATTATGAATTGGTTAGCCAAAAAACTCCCTCCGGCTATGGTTCCTGCTCGTTTCTTCTTCACTGATTCTTTTCCCATGTCTTCTGGTGGAAAAGTTGATTACAACCTATTGGCTAATTCCCGTGTATGCAACACATGTTTCAATAGTGAGACCGATGGAACTCAAGATCTTGACCTGATTCAAGCTATCGAAAAGGTTTCTTGAGTTTGAATTTAGAGATGCTTAACAATATTTTCTGATTTTACCTCTACTAATTCATTCGCTTCCCCAAATTATGTACTCCCTTTGTCCCAAGATAAACTTCCCATATTCCTTTGTAGATCGTTCCATATTAAAATTCTCACATCATCCTAAGGAAGGAGTTGTGTCATGCATATTGTTTCTCTTTTTTCGAAATCTACCTCAACCACATAAGTTTATTTTCTTGATTCCCGTGTCGGAAGTGAGTTGGAAGTTTAATGGGATGGTGGGAGTGTACTAATAAAAGTTGTATTGATATCCACTGTTCAGTAGCAGCATAAGGAGGGTTTAGAGTGAATTGACAGTTTACGTTGCAAATGTTATATGCGAGTTTTATTTTACTTCTTTAGCTCTTTTTTGTGTAGAAGGGGAGGCTGCACAAGCACTAGTCTCCTTGTAAAGTATAAGTTAGTCCACTCAGTTTCTGTCTTGCTTATTTGAGTAGAACCAGGGCTAATGCATTTTCACTTCATAGAAGTCTTAACTAGCTAGAACTTCTGTTTTTTAATTGCCTTTAATCCCTTTATATAACATACATCTAACCTTGAGGATGTGCATGAGCCAAAAAGGCTTAGTTGAGAGTGCAAGGTTCTTAAAACTGAGGCGATAGGATTAACTATTAGCAGGTACTAGATGATGGCATGAAGCACTATTCTCTGGCTAACATGGTTAAACCTACTGGCTAATACCTTTTCCTAGTGTGTTTATACGCCACTTCTTATATTGTTCTTCATTCATGAGGCATTATTGCATTGTGGGTCTTAATGTCTTTACTCTCTAAAAGGAATCTTATCACTTGTGGAAAGGCCTCATGGTGGTGCACTATTTTTCCATTTTGATGTTTTTAGTTAAATGTAGATGCTTTGTGAAATCCCTTTGGTTTAGAAGGCTACACCATGTGTTAGATGAGTCCTTAGAGTTTTGTTTGAGTAGAATCCTGGCTCTCCTATAGTGCTGTTGGCCATTGCCTCATGATCTTGATATTACTGGTTCAAGCTGTGAAAATAGCCTCTTATACAAATTAAAGCTAAGGCTCTGTCCATGTGACCTTAAAATCCCAACCTTCCCTAGGCCTTCATAGCAGGACGTATTACACTATTTACAGCTCTTTTTGTATTTAAGTGGACCGTTCTGACTATTTATTTTGAATTGTATACTGAATACTCAACACATGCATACATAAAACATGGATTCAAGAATAAGAATCAACGGGTACACTTTTAGGCTTTTAGCTCCTTTTATTCTTCATTTCCCTTCTTCGAGTTTTGAGAATCACATTTGCATTTACTCAATGCTCGAAGTCTGTGTACTCCTACTCGAAGACAATGAAGCAGTTCCTTACAATTTCTTTGTGCAGGCTTTTTGTGATGGTTTAAGGGTTGATAAGGTCTCCCATAATGCTGACTTTTTTGAGATGGGTGGTAATTCTATCTCTGCTGCATATGTCTGTTACGCTTTAGGAATCAACATGAAGGAGTTGTATACTTTTCCAACACCAAAGAGGCTTCAGCTTGCACTTCTAAGAAACGAGGTTTCATCCAATCATGGTCTTGGATCAGGTTCTTCAAAAGTAGTGAATCATGAAGAGCCAAGCAATAGTAAGATTTTTTCTGTAGATACAAAGGAACTCAGTCATAACAGAAAGGTGTCCCTAAGAGAACATCCTTTTAAATGCATGAAGATGGATTCAGATTTGTACATTGGATCTAATGATGTTGGTGCAAGAGATAATTCCTATTTGAGCTTTGATCTTATCAAATGCTCATTTAGCCGATGCAATCATGTGAAACATGTAGAGCAATGTGAGGGGAGTGAATGCTATAGTGTGCACACACAGGAATTTCCAATTGATGGAAAATTTTCAATACGAGAATGCTGGAAAGTTCACATGGAATCTTGTGTGGATGCTTCACCACTAGTTGTGCATAGAAAAAGTGATGTGTACGTGTTTATAGGGTCTCACTCCCACAAGTTCATTTGCATAGATGCCAAAAGGTAGGAATGATTTGGATGACTTTAGTTGAAATGATCAAGTTATCATCTTTCTCCTACATTCAAAATTAGATTTTTCATCAGATTGAGCTTATTTATCAAATATTAAGAGCGGAATATTAGTTAGATAAAATTCGATCTGATAAGCTTGAGTAGTGAAGTGTTGATCCCAAATAAACCAGTACTTGAATGGTAAGCTTAACTGGGTATAAAACTATTTTCTCAAGACAGTTAAATGACTCGGACTCTGGTATTTACCCATGAAAGCTGTACTGTAAGAAGAGGGCAACATCTTAACATATTGATGACCTACAAATTAGCAAGAGGATACCAAACCTGCTGCACTTAGAGTATGGTATGATTGACACTTAGCCAAGTTCATGTGGCTCTTTACTCATATCAATATCGCCCGCTTAGTTGCAAGTTGCAACTATGTTGGGGTCAGTAACCTGAAATCTGTAGTGTCAATTAGTTTAGTAGTCTAAGATCAGTCATACTATGAACTTAAGCAATAAAATAAAATAAAAAAAGTGGCAAAATTGTTACGTCGAATGCCCTTCACGTAGTAACAATCTTTACCAAAGTGATGAAATGAAATTTCAAAACCACCTTTGTCATAATTTTTTGCATTTGCGTGGCAAATATAAGGAGACGATATGATGATTTGAGATAAAAGAAATAGCCATGCCCCATTACATGATTGATTTTGAAAAATTAATCATCCATATCATGGTACATGGCTATTGGCTTGTTCACATATGAGGTTTCTAAATTGTTCATTGCTATAATTACATACTTATGTTTTTCGCTTAATCTATTTTTTCTTACTTACCAGTGTCTAGTATGATGTTCAATTTATCACTGCAATCACCATCATCCTAATTCCAACTACAATGGCTTTGATGGCATAAATGTATAGTGCCAAATTTGCCAATTAATTATCTAAAAAGACTAAAATTTATTAACACTGAGTCCATGCAAAAAATCATACTGGCAAAGTTTTACATCGACTGCCCTTCTGGTCACAACCTTCCAAAGGAAAAACATTGAGATGAGATTCCAAAACCATTGTTATCATTGGTGTTTTCACTGTCACAAAAATAATGAGACGGTGATGAGTTGAGATAGTTGCTAGGACTTGCTACATTAATGCCTTATTGAAGAATTGATGTAGAATAGATGTCTTCATCATGGAATGTGACTGTATAGTGTTATTTGTTAAGGTTACATGTTAAGTATTTCCAGATTTTTTTTTGTAAAATCAGTTTCTGATTGTTAGCAGTTAAAAGAAGGAAAATGCTCTTTTATTCTTTAATATTTTTTCGAATTTCAAAAGAACCTATAATTATATAGTATTTTTTCCTTGGAAAAAGATAAAAACAATTGTCTGTTTTCTAATAGTAAACTTTTCTGTGACCTGCACAGTGGTATTGTTCAATGGATGGTCAAATTACGAGGAAGAGTTGAATGTTCAGCTGCGATTGTTGGTGATTTTTCTCAGGTTTTGACATTTGCCTCGATTTCATCATTGTCTAATTTCAAACATGCATTCTACAGCTTCCCATTAACTAACATGGTTTGCATACTTAATTCTGCAGGTGGTTGTGGGTTGTTATGAGGGGAATATTTATTTTCTGAATTTTTTAAATGGCAGCACCTGTTGGAGTTACCAAACATATGGAGAGGTATGAATAGGCCATGAGTCCATGACAGCTATATTCATGCATGCATATGGTATGAGCTCTGCTTATATTCCTTCATTTAAGAATTCAAAATGATTTGACAGTCACAAACCTGGTGATATATTTTCTTAGTCATAAAAGATTTAGCTGTACAATGAGATGGCATGTCCATATTTTGTCGTTTTCAATTTTTAGAATTGGTGATTCATGCAGATGGTACATGTTACTGTCTTCTTGATACTTGTTTGGTACTTTGATTGTAGATTTTTAGGTGTAAGGCTTTTGTAAGAAATGTGAATCTGGTTGCCACATTTTTGTCACCCAAATTTACTCTGACTTTGTCTTATTGATTTAAATAGTTTTATTGCTCAGTATATCAGCAATATAATTTTGTGAAATCCTCTTTTTGGTTTTGGATCCAAATTTCAAAGGTCAAGTCACAGCCAGTGGTTGACAAATCCAGGCACCTAGTCTGGTAAGATTTCATTTCCTTCTATTTTTGTTATTGTACAGAGTCAATTTTCTTCATAATTGGAATAATTATATTTCTTGGATCTATTTGGGTCTGTTCTGGACTTAAATATTAAGGAAAGAAACCAGAAAGGAAAATATGTGGAAATTTTGGAAAGATAAAAAATGGGGTGAGGATAAAACATTGCTCCATCATCATCATCATTACCCCAGTGCCCGCAAAGGCTCCCACCTACAGTGGGGTTAGGGGGGTTGGATGTACGCAGTCTTGCCCGTGTATTGATGCACAGTGAGACTGTTTCCTGATGACCCATATTGAAAATCGCGTCAAAAATTGTATGAACCGACTGCTGCTTCATAACAAAAAATGCTGACATTTTAGTTTTACTTTATTCCATCATATTCCCAAACCAAAAAGTAGCGAGTCTTTGGCTCCATTGCAAATGATGGAAAAAAACATTGCTCCAAATGGAACAATTTTTTGATATATTTCTCAAACCTTTTATGTATTTATTTCTGTGTGTGTTGACCTAAATGGGGAAGTGTAAGCAGTAAAGGATTAAATTTGTCACTTTGTCAGTGGTGATGTCTATATCAGAAATGTGATTGTGCTTATTCTGCACGTATATTTCGGTGTGCTGTCTCCCCCACGAAGTTCAAGCCTGAGCTGTATTCAGGGAAGGCTGAGGAAGTAATTTTTAATGGTGCAATTGCCTATTATCCAATGAACTTAGAATGTCTTCAGAAGTTTAGAACAAGACTCGTTACTGTTCTCTTTGCTAGTCCTGGTGATATATACAGCATTTCATGGCAATAACAAAGTTGGATGCATGGCCTTTTTCCCTTAATTACCTAGCTGGTGGCGTGTTGCTTCATTGCTATGCTCAATGTTCAAATGTTCAATGCAACTTGTTACGAGAACTAATGATTAAGAGGAAGAAATCAAATTCTCATAACTACAGATAATATTGGAGATTGACACCTTCAGTTATTTAAGTCAACCAAACAAGTTAAGGCCTTTAAAGAGATTCAGAAGAGATAAGATGTTTAGGCTGAATTCCATGCTTTATTCCATAGTATGTTGTGGTATTTATACATAGATGTAGAGTGTATAAGGTAAGCTACTACATACAATATTAACTACAGAGATTTGTAACTAAAAACAATAAATAATTGTAACTGAAATCCTAGAATCTGGATTCTTCTACAGCCTTGAGTTCACTTGCCTAATCTTTTGCTTTATTTTTACAGAAAATGTACTGTGTGAGTGTGTTGACAATTTAAATTTATTAAAAGGCCTTCTTAAGTTTTTTAGCATGACTACTTAAGAAGTTAATACATACGGTCATACTCTGCTCTCGTATGTTGTTCTTCTTGATGAGTTTTATTTCCTCTTATCTAGCAAAAAATGGTATGCAGGTGTGGGTCACACGACCACAACCTATATGCTCTGGACTACGAAAACCATTGCTGTATTTTCAAAATATCATGTGGTGGAAGCATATTTGGCTCCCCTGCAATTGATGAGGTGGGGGGTTTGATTACTATAATAGTAAATGCATTCATTTGTGTACTATTTAATTGACTCTGGTAAGCGAGTGAGCAAGGCTGCGAACTAAAGTATTTATGATTTCTTTTTTTGTTCACGGATTGCACTTTTAACTGTGTTCCATCTCTGTATAGATGCAAGGAAGACTTTATGTGGCATCAACAAGTGGCCGGCTCACTGCAGTATCTCAGGAGGTGCTTTTCGTTTTTGTATCAATCTCATACTATCTTCAAGTTGATTTGAGCAGTCAGCTTGCTGTGGTGTCTAAGTAATACTTTACAATGCAGGCTCAGCCATATTGTGTGCTATGGATAAAAGATCTGGGAGCCCCTGTTTTTGGGCCGCTTTCCATAAACTCGTCTTGTGGAATAGGTAAGTTTTGTCATATGGTCCTTGTTTCTGGGTTTGTAAATTGTAGTGACAATTCTAGTCAGATTTGAAACAGCAAGCATCTATGGATGTTCCAGTAAAAGCAGGCTTACAGAATTTATGTAAATTCATTTCAGAATGTCAAGTAGATATTTATTTATCTTAATTGTGGTGTTTTAGTGATATGCTGCTTAGTTGATGGAAGTGTACTTGCTCTGGACGTGAGAGGATCAATTGTTTGGAAGGTATTTTGTCCCTTTTTAAAGTAACTTATGTGCTTTGACTTTGCGAGTAATTTATAATTTTCTTGAGCAATTCAAATTTGGTGAATTGCGAATAACCCATTCATGTCCATTTACAATCTAGTTCTTATTGAAATGCATCCTTTTTGGGAAATGCATTTTGGATTCTTAACTGCGGTACATGGACTGATTAAGACCATTCTTTAACTCATGACTAGTCAATGCTGTGATAAAACATTTTCATCCCTTTAAAAGACATCAGCTAGGTGGTGTATTAATTATTGAAATGCATCCTTTTTATTCAACACTCTATGCGGCTTATTGGATCTTTTGGATTTTGACATATAGAAATTGTGTATAATGTATTCTATACCATTTTAGTCATTATAGCTTTACAGCTTTTCTCCATCCTATTTTTTTTTATAAAGGGTTGTGTTCATTTTCTTTGACTACTCTTCACCCAGTGGTATTTGTAAGACACCCTTTCATTATGAATCAGGGAAGAACAGGAGGTCCAATATTTGCAGGACCATGCATGTCGCATTCATTGACATCTCAGGTCTTTCATGTAGTTTCTTTGAATATCCAAGTTGGCAAGTTCACTACTATACATGTGGATTTCTTAATGCAGCACTCCAAATTCGCATGCTTCTTGTGTAACTAAAAAAGCAATATCTTGATAGGTGCTTGTTTGTTCAAGAGATGGATGCATCTATTCATTTGACTTGGTATGCTTGGTTACCTTATGAGTTATGATTTGCTCTTTCCTTGGCTGTTTCTGTTTATGGAGATGGAAATGTGTTGGGTTGAGAGATAAGCCTCTCACAAGTGTAGCAGAGACAGGGCTAAGCTGTTTACTTTTTAATTTTTAATTTTTAATTTTTTGTGCATGCATTTGATATAGCAATATAAGTAATACATAGTATGTTAGACACTAATAAATGGTAGGGGAAGGATATAAAGCACAGATTAATATGGGTTTTTAGTGTTAGGTTTTACCCTAGAAAATGCAAAGGAAATCAAAATTTGATAAATAAAAATAAGTGTTACTATATTTAGATTTCCTAGTCTTTGTATCATAATAGAAATATTTCAATAAAATTAATATGAATGAAGATGTAAAATTGATATACTGAGTTTGAGGCATTTGTTATCCTCCCACAATTTATTTCCTTCCATATTTCGTCTGTTTTCCTTCCTTTTTTTATATTACTTTTTGCAAGTTCCAAACTGACCCTTAATATTGTGGAAGGAAAATGGGAAATTGCTCTGGAAACACAGTGTTGAAGATCCCATCACTGCATCAGCATATATCGACGAGCACTTGCTACTGACACATGATCGCCAAACCCTGCCGCGGAGGTGAATCTGTAGTTTCAATTGCTTCTAAAAGTCAATATATAGGAGAAAAGTAGCTAAAAGACCAGTAATGTACATATGACTTTACATTTTACAGGTTCATCTGTGTATGCACGAGTTCTGGAAGTATTCATGTGCTTCAAGTTGACTCAGATTGTAATGAGGCAGCAAGAAAGTTGTCGGGGGGAGATATGATCCAGGAATTTGCTAAATTGAATCTTGAAGGTGAAATCTTCTCTTCCCCTGTGATGATTGGCGGAAGCATATATGTTGGATGCCGGGATGATTACATCCACTGCTTAAAGCTCGAGATACAAGTTCCCAATTGAAAACCAAAGCCAATGCCTTTGTTATCATATGTACAGGGTTACACTACTGATTCTTTTTCAACTTTTAGTGTGTGTTTGGTTGGAATACTTTGGAGGAGTGCTGTTCTTGGGTTCGGTGAGCAGGGGAGAACGGGGAAATTTGGGTGCGGTTATTATCCTTGTTTTTCTGCAACTCTTTATCAAGTGTTTATCTCCTTCAGGAGCTACGCACATGCCTTCATGCGGTTTTTGCACCATGTATGTAATCATACTCTTTCCTTATTATTCATGTTCTGGTTTTCCAAAATACATAGAATTCATACACAATTGTCTTACTAACATACTCTACACATTTCGCCTATACGTATGGCACACTTTAATAGTACTTAAATCATTCTACTCATCATATTCAAGTTATTGTACTCATCATATGACATGCATATCACTTCAATCAGAATTTCATTAATGTAGCGTGCTAATGTCTACAATATCAAATGCATATATATGGTATAAAGTTGCGATGTTATATTATGAATGACATCCGAAGAATATTATCAGTTTCGAAGTTGTGCCTTCGAATATACTTATTTTACACCACTTAATTTGTTATGACGTTGTGTACATCTCCAGTATATGTAATGCACATGAAATATGATAAATAGTTTTTGCAGAAGTGGGATATCTTAAATGGGACTGTGGGAGCCCTCCGTGTACATCACACCCACGCTTAAGTTTCTTTTCTTATAGGAGCTTTTAAGTTCAAGTTATCAATGCAAATAATGATCATTTAGCCTTTGGGGCTTATTGAAGAGTCATCTTTATTCTTTATCGGTATTTTGTCTCGTCTCAACGACAATATGAGTATTCGCTTCTTGTAAACAATCCAAAAGTGTCGATAAATCAGTGACGGTTCTCCAGAGATGCACCGTGACTCGTGGATGCACGTACACAAACTTAATCATTTGAGGATGATTTCTTATTTGATGAGGTCTACAAATGGCATTGGTATTTTGAAGCCATGAAGGGTTTCTCAAATGACTAGTGATTTGTTCTTTTAGTGGTTAGTGGTGGGTTCTTGAAAGTCTAGAATTGACACGGTAAAGTAGAGATTACCTGGTATTAATTATTAAACAAAAAAAAGCCTTTACGTGCAGTGAATTGTACTCTACCAATCACCTATGGAACATTTTACCTATTATTGTAACTTTTCTAGGGATGCAATGTAGTTTACTTATTCCCAAACATCCAAATCAAATCTCCTTTTCATATATCAGGAATCTACCTATATATTGGAAGAGAAAATTGTCTGCAACTTTTGTATGGTATTGCTTATAAAGTTTTCTGGTAGATACAAATACAAAGATATTCACCGCAAGTACTCTAGCAGTCTAGCTCGGTGCTTATACTTTGGTACCGGTGCATGTTGAGCACCATGCACCCTTTGTTATTTTTTATTTCTCATTTTCTTAAAATTGTTAATAATTTTTTTATTTTTGATCCAATTTTTATAAAATTTATACCATTTTTTTTTATTTTTCATGATCTTTCAAATGAGACCAATATTGCCTATGTAATTTTAATTTTTTACATTCATACATTTTTTTGTAATATATTTTTATATGCACACACTTTTTCTATAATATATTTTTTTATCACTTTTATATGTTTTAGAGGTTTTTAAGATATTGAATTTGTTTATTTTGCTTCTAGCTTGTAGTTACATTTGATAATATACGAAGTTACATCATCTTATACTCCAGTTACAAGTTATTATGTGTGAGTTACATCTTGTTATGTGTGAGTTACATCTTGCTATACACGAGTTACATACTTTTATGCGAGAGTTACATGTAATTATGTGTGAGTTACATCTTGTTATGTGTGAGTTACATCTTGTTATACACGAGTTACATACTTTTATGCGCGAGTTACATGTAATTATGTGTGAGTTATATCTAATTATTTGTGATTTTTTACTTATCTTTATCTTGAACTAATTCAATTATAACTGAATTAATTTTTTTCTTTGTCAATTTAATACAAAATTTTATTAATGCACATAAAATAAGTATATTGTATTTCATATTCATACATTATTTTTCAAATGATAAAAATGAAAGATGTAGCAGGGGTTTATTTCATGGTGTAACTCACATACATTAAGATGTAACTCGTGTATATTAAGATGTAACTCGCGTATAATAAGATGTAACTCGCGCAAAAGAAGATGTAACTTCATGATATATTATCAAATGTAAGTTCAAAATAATTTGTTAAAATTACATAAGCAATATTGGTCTCATTTGATAGATCATGAAAAATAAAAAAAATGATATAAAATTTATAAAAATCGGATATCAAATAAAAAAGTTATTACAATTTTTAACAATAAAAGAAAAAAAATAATGAATGCTGGGTCGTTTTGGGATCAGGCGCATCATGCTCATGATGCCCCGATCCGAGGGTGTAAATTGCGATCTAGCTTGTACATGTCAATTATCCCCACATTTTTCTAACGTTGTGCCGCTACCTAATTATTACATAGAAACATTGATACAATAAATCAACAGTTATCTTTAATGTGTGTGACAATTGCCCATATATAGGGATGGACTCGGGTCGGGTAAACCGACCCGTAACCGGCCCGGGTCCGGTACTGTTTCGACCCGGCCCGGATCGGTACCCGGGTCATAATCCGGTTTGGGCCACTTGGCCCGGTACTGTTACGGGGCGGTTCCTGGGCCTCCCAAACCATGAACCGGCCCGGCTGGTTCGGGCCATTTTTTTTTCAAAATTTGAAAAATGTAAATGGGTTGGGCTGGGTGTTTTGGACGGGTTAGGGGTGTGGGGGGTGTCGGGGGGGGGGGGGGGGGGGAAGTAATTAGAAAAAAATAGGCAGCCGTCCCGGCCCGAATCGGGCAGGTTCCAGGCATCAAGAATCAAGGAAAAAGCCCGATCAGACTCGGCCCGAGGCCCGGCCCAGACCGGCCCGAGGCCCGGCCCAGACCGGCCCGAGGCCTGGCCCGGACCGGCCCGAGTCCATGCCTACCCATATATGTATAAATAGTGACATTGTTTTTTTAGCTTTTTGAAAAGTAGTCACTTGCTCACTCTTTATAAACTCTCTACTTAGGTTGTTGGTTCAATAATTCCTTTTAATATAAGCTCGTTATCATGTTAATTGGTCCCACATAAGTAATTAGTTAATTAAAAAAAATAATGTACTTTTGATACGACGCATTAGTATCATTAGCTAATGATCCAATATTGTTCGGTTAATCGGTTGGTATAACCACTTTGCTAATGATCCAATAATGATAAATTTTCCTTCCTATATATCCATCTAGATCGAGATTAAGTTGATTATTATATTATATGTGTATCATATGTTGTACGTATCATCTAATACAATTTGTCACCTTAGGGGTCAGATCTAGACATTGCTTGACCCACGAGTAGGGAATCATTTTCTAGACTCCTGTTTTATTTTATAATTTCAAAATTGACTAAATTGTCTGCATATTTTGTAGGTAAGTACAGCACATTGGAGAGTTTAATGGATCAAACCCTATTGTGATATACAAATTGATTAGACTGTGAATTAAAAAACGTGTCAAAGCTCTGTGTGTTACATATTAATCATGAGAAAACCTCTTCTAAGAATAAATCTTACAAATTGAAATTTATGTGTCTTAATTTTATGATTGAATATGCAACTAAATTTGTTAAAGTCCTTAAATTATATAAAAATGTTATTGATATTTCGATCTTTTACTTGATAATTAAATATATTGTTGGAGAAGGTATGTACATGATTATTTAAAACATTGGAGGATTTGACTTGGTTATTTATACCACAAGGGACTAATGCGTAGAAATTATCTATCACGAAAGAGTTTAGTTAATTAAACCTAAATAGGGTATGTATATTTCTAATAAGTCTTCTTATCCTTTATAGTTTGGTGCATGCAATAATTGTAATATTGTTAGTATGTGTAAACATAACATTTGACAATGAATCAAAGTCCGCATTTACTGTTATTTTTAAAGGAAAAATAATTTAGAAACTTTAAACTTTGGATGTTTGAGGTATGCACCCAAATTTGTATATGCAATATCTATACCTCAAACTTTATATATAAATTTATTGATGCATATATTTTTCTTTCACAAATGTAAATTTATGATTTTAAGTACTACGTACGTACATAACTTTAAGCACTTATGAAGATGAACTAACATTCTAAACCCCCATTTATGAATTAAATGATATTACCCCGATCTGTATGTAATTGCAACACTTTCAATTTGATATTTGACAACACACCACTTTCGTAATTAACATTTTAAATTGAGTATTAGTAAAAATTAAAAAAAAAAACATTTTTTAAATCTTAGACATGTTTTATAATATTTTATTAATGTACCATTATTTTGTACATTAATGAATAAAATACAGTAAAACTAGAACATGAGACTAGTGTAAGTCAAATTATGTAAATAGTTGACACCATGACTCATACTTTCTTGGTTCTTTAATAGTTGAAATAATTTGAATTTTACCATATTAAATTAAGAATATATTGAATGAAAGAATATTTTCATGGAATAATTCGAGTACAAAGAATGGCAGGACTATATATAGTCTATACAAGGACCTAAGTGCAATTAATAATAACACAATCACTACAAGGAATATACATAATAATAATAATAATATAATCTTAACATATATACTCTCATTTGAATTTACACCATTCACACATTATATATGTTACGATTGATTTTACGATTGCACTATTCACCCACACATCATTTCTGTTCACACTAGGCGATCTTGATTCATCCAAACTAATCGCAAGCTTTCAATTCCTGACGTTGTCTGTATATTTCTGTGCACAAGATTCGCCCTTCCTCCCAGAATTTAATTCCATTGTACAAATGACACACGGATTAAGAAAGTGTGAATTGTGTGGTGGAAAGTTATGCAGAGGAGAGATAAATAGGTAAGAATTGCTGTGAACCACAATTTCTTTGTCAAAAAAGGAAAGAAAAGTTCTTTTTGAGACAAACGAAAAGAGAAAGTTAGAAGTAAATTATGGGACGGAGGCAGTATTTGATTCCACCGCATTTCTTGACGGAGCCGCCACTAACTTTTTAACACATCCAAGTTCTCAAAAGAGATAAATTTTCATACGTATTATCCCATTAAGACGAGACAAATCACCCATTAAATTATCACTCTAATTAGATTCGCGTAAAGGATCATCATTTAAGCAACATAATCTCCTAACATTTCTCATCATTATAAGATGGAAATGGTATTGCTCAAATAATAAACATGACAAGAAAATAATGAGCTCGTAACATGTGTATCACGTCGCTAGGTGACAAGTTGACGTGACACATAATTTGTAAATTGACTGAATTGAACGTTTTTAAAATTTAGGGGATTCGATTT